TTAAATTTACGTCAATTTAACTTGATCAATAGCCCGCACAACGATCGTGTTTTTCACCGTTCGTGTTTACAACTTTCACAGTTACCTGGTAATTTTCCCAAGATTATTGACACGTCCTAATTTCTACGCCACCATCGAGAAATCCGAATGATTTTATCGAAACGAAATCGCTGTCGTCGATATTCGAACGATATGCTATTGGAACGGAACAACGACGAGAGACTTGTCGAAAAAGGAAAAGCGCAGACTGAATACGAAATAAGACAACGTGCGTTCAGCGCGGCGATGGTTCACTAGCAGCGTGCAAAATTGTAAGTCCGGTTCGTTCTTGGAGAATGTCGTTCTCCAAACTTAATCTCACGTAATTTGCAAAGTTACATCTTCGTTGCAATCGACTAAAACAAGCCACCATTCATTTTTTCTTTTCTCTTCTTCTTCCTTTTCTTAACTATCTATACCTCGCGAAATTTCCACCGTCCACCCTGAAAGGTGGAAATACGAACGGTGTGTACAGTACACGACACGAGCAAACGTGTACGCGACGGCAACAACCCTTTAGTCCTTTACCCCATATACTCTAAGTAAATCGTTTCTGTAAAACTTTCGAGGACTCGCGTCACGAACTTTAGAATGCCGGCTCATGAAGTTGTCTGGAGAGTTTTTATATCAAGAACTCTCTCTCTCTCTCTCTCTCTCTCTCTCTCTCTCTCTCTCGTGTACTTCTCAAAACGCACGGTCACTTGAATCCCGCTGAAAAGCCCTCACCGGGAACCCATGGAGTAGTCTTGCAAGCCGCTTTCACATGTATAATATCGCATTTTTATACGTAGTCCCCCACCCGACAATTTCACCGGTGGGACTACCCTTCTACGCGGCCGGAAATACATTATATCCTAACCTCCGTTACCGGGCTGCTTAAACAAGCGAGATATTTTACTCAAAAACGCGAGATATGCATGCGTGTTTCAAATAGAAATGTATGTTTCAGATAGATTTATCTTTATTGTTCAAGTATCTAAAATACCGGAATTTACTTTCCTGGTTTATATATATATTTATATATATATATATATATATATATATATATATATATATGCGTGTATGTATGTATTTTTGTTTTCTTATATTTCAAAAATTTCATTTCGAAAATATGATATTTCAGTTAATAATAATCTCAGCTTCATTTCGCAGAATGAACGATTTAAAACTCTGCAGTTTTTCGGAATAGTGGAACAATTTATTTTTAAACACTGTTTGAAAGCTTGAAATGAAAATGCATGCGCGACATGCAAAGTTTCAACGCTTGCATAAATATAAAATTCATTATTTTGTTGCATTAATATCTACGCGCGCAGAAACGTTTATAATGTTCTGTACGCGTTGTTATAACGTTCTGTTGTTTTGAGAAAAGAGAAAAAAATATTTTTGCTTGTACTCGAGTGCACTGTTTTTATTTTTTTTTTTTTTTTAAATACAGAGATATTTCTCTGACAGGGCAGAGAAATTGTATAATTTAGTGCAATTTATCGATTAAATGAACTATTGTTACGAACTATCTACTTGCGTTGTTCCATATTTTCGTACATCATCATTCTCTTGCTCTGCTTTTTACTTGCTTGCTTTTTACTATAGCCGCAATTGGATAATTTCAAGAATTTCAACAAATTTCCTAGCATTTCGAATTTCTTGCTACTTCCTTAATAGCACTATGAACCGATGAAAACGCCCGTCGTAAGACCAAAATTTAAGATTATAGGCGGATTTCCTAGATTAAACGTTGATGTTACGCCCTCGCCTAACATCCTTACCTGCTCTCGCGCAGGAAGTTTGTCCAAGGAATATTCAGGAAGTTACCTTGAAAATATTCGTTACACCTAGTACATACTTCCCTTCAGAGAAAGAAATTGAAATTTAGATGTCGCGTTGCATTAACTGCGGAGAGGAGAGTGGCTTTAAAGTCTTTCGTACAAATTACAACTTTTGTAATCTTCGAACCGTGAAATTCATTATCTTCAGCGAAATTTATAACCATCCCCAAATCACGGAATAAATATTTACATTTCGTTCAGGTATTATTCGATAAATAATATGCCAATGTCAGAAATTTATTTGACTGTTCACGGAACAAATTTCGCGTGTTTCGTTTCTCGATAAATCGCTAAAGCAGAAACAAACGTGGACGATGATATCAATTAATATACACACATTCGTCAATTAAGAGTTGCCGATACTCGTGAAATTTTACTATGTTATTTCTGAATTATATTACATGTATAGCAATTAAATAGAATTTTTTGGTAGATTTCACTGGTTTTGAGATATATTGTTAAGGTTGATTTCCTAATTCTTAGAACATCTGTTGATTTCGTACGAAATAGAATCCTTAGATTACAGGGCAATCGATCAAAATTTTGTATTTGTACAACAATTCATCCTAATCATACGTTACAATTAAAGATGTTCGTTCATTCATCAAGATCGTCGTTCGTAAGATTTAAGGCTTCGCGCGAGATTTTTGTGGAAATCTTTCACCGACCTGTCCTCGACGTCTAATCTCAACGATTCTTAGACGATTTGCGAAATATTAATAACACTTGTTGCACGGACTAATATCGAATTAAACCAACCCGTGACATCCAACCTCTCTGTTTCAGTCTTTCGTTGCGTGAATAATCGAAACGACGCGCCATTCGTTCCAGTATGGGCGCACAAGTCTTAGTATATTAGCAATCTAAAAGTCTAGTCGATGGTCGGTATCCTTATTAAACGCGATATATTTACGTCGGGATTAGGCACGTATCTGGAATCCGTTCTGGTAAAAAGGGTATCCATTACCGGTTAGGAGGAAGATTGATACGTTAAGAAAGAAAGCGGGTTAGCGTCTAATTCGAAAGCGGTCGGGCTGCCGTTCCTTTCGGGTCCCTTTTCCCATCAAATCCCCGGCATCGACGTTACAGGAATTCGTTCGGCCGGCTGCAGTCGCGGTAATTTCATTTCGTTCACACCGGCTCTTTTCGCAGGCTGCCTCCCCCGTGTTCGTTGACTCGTACGTATTACTCCGTTGCCGGCGGTCTAGCAGAATTGTTTTTACGAAATTGACTTTTCCCTCGGCCTTCTCTCGGCCGAACAAAGCGTCCTTCGGGAAGAAAATCTATTGGCCTTTCGTTTAATGCTCGTCCCCTCCCACCAAGACGCTTTCCACTTCGGCTACCACCTTTTATTATTACGTTTCAATATTCCGACGTGCGTTTAATCGCATTATCGGCTTCCTGAACTTCCAGTCCGTAGCTATTGCGGGATCCGTAAGAAACGCTTTTTGGATAATCTCGTGTAACCATTAGCATATGATAATATGTGAAGCCGCGCAGGGCGATGGGATGAGAGAAGTTCGTGAAACGAAAGAAAATGGAAACAGCGGGAACGTTCATGTAATGAGATCCGTTCGATGACAAATTTTTGGATTACATTGAAATTCTCTCTTCCGGAGTTTGGTGTAATTAATAAAAATACGTGGTCACTCTTGACCGATTTATCAGCGCAGGTATCATTCGGTAATAACTAAATTCGTTGTTTCAAACTGTTTCTTTTGTACTTTTTTTTTCGAGATTATTTTAAAACCTTTCAATTTAAAATCAGCCAGCGTGGATTCATTCGTATGTAAAATTCTAAAAGAAATACTTTTAATAGCTACGTGTCCCAGAATTTTTCCAAGTCTCAGTGTTTCGTTCACAAGTATTTTATCAAGTTTCGAAACGTAACGTTTCGATTAAAAAACATTTAATCCCGTTATATCGTTTCAAAAACAGCAAAAACGTATATTACGTAAAGCAATATTTTTCATATTTCAGTTAATCTTTGAATTGTATTTTAATACCAAACACCTTGAAAATTCCTGAGACTCCAAACGGACAATTACGGCCGACCGTTCATTTATCCACGTGCTATTATACATCTATACCCGTTACAATGATCATTCTATGGCAAAAATTTAATCGATGATCGGCTTGGAGACAGTTTGGAATTAATTGAGAAAGTTCAATGAACATAAGCTGTTCACAAATACGGTGAAACGGATTAGATACGGCAACTTTGAAATGTCATCATCTCGTGTGCCTCTCAGTTGATCTCAACCTCTATTGATACCAGCAGAATACCTAGTATTTGGTTTTCGTACGCGTCGCGTTCGCAATCGATAACACATGCTAGTTCTATCGGCATGAAAATCCACCAATTACCGTTTCCATCGACGAGCGCGATATCTATTCATTAAATTTCAAGCTTTCCCAATAGACACGCACTATCGTCGTACTACCAGCGCGTGCGTTTGTCAGTTTCAATTCAGTGTGACGAGACACATCGAATCCGTTTGTTTGTGGAAACATATCGCACGGCATATATTACTGTACGATTATTTATTAACAGACATGAAGAAAAAAATCTTTTGATTAAATTAAACCAACATGTTATAGATTATCGTTTCTCTTTTACTTCCGAGAATAATTCTATTCATAGGTTAACTCGATCTACGTTGAAATATTTAAAAAGTCACACAAACTGGCTAGAGGATGATGAACGAGGTTAATTCTGAAACTGTCGTTCTCAAAGCTGAAACTTAACCCTTGCACCAACTTACTTGTCTTTAAAATGTTGCTTCATATGTCTATAGCAGCTATTAGAGAAATTTGAAAACAATTTAAACGTTCCGAGTTATCGTGAAATTTATCATTTAAACGTTCCACGATTATTTTGAAATTTTCTACAGACAGAACAAATTTTATAAAACAGAACATCCCCGAGATGAAAGATTCACGATTAACAGTTAAAGTAAAGATTAATCCAAAACATCGCCAGAATTTTCTAAAGTGTCGTTCGATCGGCTCATCGTCCACCCCGGCTAATAGTCAGTTTAGGTGACAAGTGTACACAGTAACCGCAAACCTTGAGACAAGACAACGTAATAACATTGCGCGTTAACGTGCGCGCGCGCATGTGTGTTTCAGTGACCTCCGAGAACGGAAGCGAGACACCTACGGCCATCTATTTGACGATGCTGATGCTGTGTATGCTCCAGCTGTTCCTGAGATAGTCACGATACGCCTGAGGCTGCGGGAAGGGAGTCCATGGGCGTCGCATGATAAACAGCGCACTAGTCAAAAGGAGAGGCAGGAGAAAATGGAAGGAGGGTAGTTTAAGGGCTGGCCGAACCGGCGGCGGGAAACCAAATAACAATACTGTTGAATCGGCATTGGTATCACGTGTTTTTTTAGCATATTCGGTTCCGGTTTCGTTCGCGGAGGAACGATCGCGAAAATACCATCGCTTTCATTGTTAACACTCGTCTACGTCGTACATACGTCCCCGATAAACGATCGTTCAACAAGATCGAGACGATGCCTGGACACTACACGGTTTATTGATACGCTTATCTCGACTTGTATCGGATAATACGAACGCGATTTATTCGAGAACAATTCGTCGTGAACCGAAGTTTCTCGATTCGATATATTATTAGGCTGATGTTCACTTGATAGCTCAGAATGGGGTCGGTAATTTTTGCGTTTAGTGCACTGACATCGACATTACACGAGTAGCAAAATTAACATATACCAAACGTCATTTTGTCAAAATTTAGACTGGAAATTTATCGTATTGTGTATTACTTGATGAAGTAATATAAGAAAAAGATGTTGGACGTATAAAATGTAATACAATCGAAGAAACTTCAGTTATAAGACATCAATTTATCCTTTAACTTAGAGACATCCATGTTTTTATCATTACTTTGTGTAATAAATATTCAGACTTGTTTCAAAGATAAGCACTCTAAAAGTACTTTAAAGGTTCACATTTAGGTAAGAAGATTCAGCAGGAATTCATTGAATTAATCATCGACTGAAAATTCAGCAATATCGTTACCGTAGTTAAGGATTACGTTTAACCTACATACGTCAAGATTATTCTAATATCGCATGATGTGCTACTAAATGAACAACAGTCTGAGTACGAGCTCCTCGCTATGGCAAAGACAGTTGTAATCTAATTCGTGTTCGATCGACATACTGCTCAAATAAATTCCGTGTCTGTAAAGTAACGAGCAACCGACTGATCCGTTCGAGGACAAGGTCGAGAGCTAGCTTTGAAGTGAAATCGTTTGCTTACGTATCGCGTTTCCGCTTCAAAGGATCCCTGTCACAGATATTCTCTTCCGGTTCCTATCGACGAACGCAGCTGTACAGAGAAGAACACGTAATTGGCAAGAGATCGAGAGCCTGACTGGAGAAATGTAAAATTCCGAACAAGGTACAGTAGCTCACGAAAATATTTGGATACTCGCTATAATAGAAAATAATTCATTGTAAAGCACGGCTTAAAATTTCATTAGCGTTGTAACGAGACACGACTGTCACGAATTGCCAGAGACAATTAAAAATTGCGAAGTACGAACAGCTATCTTCAACATGTCACAAAAGATATTACATTTAATACTTGGAGCTTACTTGAATTGTTTAAATACTTCCATACATAATACTTGTGCAAATTTATATATTTTTACGAGCATTAAATTCCTAAATTCTAGAGAGACAGAATTCTTTTTCCTATTGAAATTATTCTATGTAATTTTACATATTTTACGAGTCCTGTGAATTCTTTCGCTTTCATTAAATTCATTAAACAAAGCTAATGAAATTTCAAGACATTTCATATATACACACATACACATACACACACATACGACATATTCGCAAGAGGTTTCTGCAAGTGTTGGAACACTTTCGTCAGCTACTGTTAGAAAGGACGTTCAAGTACCACACATCACCCTATTTCGTCGTTCGATGAGAGAGGACAGACGATCGAATGTCCTACCATTATTCCGACTAAAGATGCGTGTCACGCGCGCTCTACGTCATTCTGTCGTGTCTATTGAACCATTGTCCTCGGGCCAGGTGAAGGACCGGTGATCGATCCGACGATTTTGATGCGAAGGGGCTAGTCAAGTGGCGCTCGCCAGACTCCTAATTTCTCTTTTCCCTCTTCCCTGCGATGTGTCCTACGTACCGCAGAAAATTCTACGTCCTACGTTTCACAATCTAACGATGTTTCCGCGCGAGAGTACCCCCGCGGGACGAGGTATTCGCGAACAGGAACACGCCTGTGTACCTACACGTTTGTTCATATCTTGCAGTGTGAGAGGGAGAGAGAGAGAGAGAGAGAGAATTTTTCTTTCGGGAAATGTGTAATAATCGATGCGTAATAATCGATCAAATGTGACGATAGAAGCTAGTTCTTAGTTTCATTTGTCTCTGGGAATTATGTGGTGTTATTGATCCATAGGCTGATGTATGGATTGATTGAAAAATGATTATTGAATGTTATAGAAAAGCTTTAGATATTGTAAAATATTCAGAATTTCAGAAATTCCCAAAGACGGGAATGTGTTTCATTTAATAATGTTAAAAATTTATCATTTTTTTTATATCAGAATTTTTTATAATCTTTTTTCTTTATCTTTTTAGTATTTTGTATTCATTTTCTTCACGTTCACTGATATTATATGATAACTTTGAGGAAATTTTCAATCATTCTGTACATCACTGTTGTCAAGCGCGAGATGAAGCGATTTTAACAAATGTTGTAAGATCTCACAAATTCCTGGCATTACCGCTATAAATATTTCCTGAATTTCAACAGGGAAATGAATATACCAAATGATGAAATGATACTTCAAATCCTGTATAATAGATAGCTAGATATAGAACATAGCAACTAACGATGGAAACAAGAAATCAAACAAACCGGAAGCGTAATTATAAATTACGTTGAAAGTTGCGACATGCGACGAATTGTTACACGAAATGGATCGTGAGACAAAGCATGAAAAATATTCCCCTCAAAAAGCGCGGTATTTCACTATATGTGTGTGTGTACGTCCCTCGGTGCGTTTGCTCGAATATTTTCTGCTTGCCAGCGTATAAGTTGTATCAACAATCAAAAGCTTTCCTTTCGTACAAAATATTCTGTGAAATATGAAACTTTAACTGCAGAATGGTTCACGACACCATACATTTTTTATGCGTAAGATAGTTTTGTTTCAAATCATACTGTCAAAAAAATACGGAGTTTAAAAAATCCACAAACTAATTGTGATGGTTACATTTCAAAATGTTTCATATCTTTGCGACACACGTAAAACATCCATGAAAGATGTATTCAAATCTTCGAGTAATTTCGTGAACCACTGTTCCTAGCTAAGAATAATCGGTAGATCGACTATTCGAAAGGGAAGCAGAAATTCGAGGCTGAAGTAAAAGCACGAACCCCGTCTAAAAGGAAGTTTAAAGCCGCCGAAGGGTTTTGCGTGTCTATAAAGCGTCTACGTGTCGCGTGTTTCTCCGGCTTGCGGGTAGGAAAATCTCTCGTGTTGTTCCGCGGATATAGAAAACGCTCCTCTTTACTTTCGCGCGCGTGTAACCAAACCGGATCCTTGGCAAACTTCGGCGAGCATTTACGTTACGAGTAGTCGACATAAAAAGAAGAACCGGTATATATATACATCTACAGCAGAGAAAGACGGAGAGAGTTTTATTCTCCAGGAGCGAGTGTATCAACAACAGGTAAAGCTACGCGTATGTAGCGTCAAGCAAGATGAATTGACGTTAAGCATGTAAATTCTCGATTGTATATAAAGTGTTGGAAAAATGTAGCGCGGTCGGCAAAGGTATCGTGGAAATTGATGGCAGGGATACGCGTCAAGATTCTCAGAGAAAATATACTCTTACTTTTTCTTCGAAGTTTTTGAGGAAAAAAAATCGTGGACATGTATAACGCGTCTTAATAATTTCTCGAATTTTTGTGTTGCAAGTCGTTGAGAGATACGTTGAGATCTACCTAATTATACCTGCACTGCGTCTTATAAGTATAACCATCTAGAAAGTTTCAACTCCGATGTTATTTCGTGATCAGAACAATGAGAAACGGAGCAAGAAATAATTTATCAGTTCTTTCTGAAAAGAAAAACTATAATAGCACAAAACTAGGTACTCTTGTTTCAGAATTATATTATATTATAATGTTATACATTGTAAAAATTTTTCATACCATAATCAGATAAGTTTTCATCGTGGTATCTCGCCATTTCCAAAAATGAATTGGAAACTTTCGAGTGGTTTTAGAGTTACGAGACGCGAGTGTACAAGGAGTATCTATTTTGTAACGACTTGTACAACGAAAGACGTTCGCTCGTTTCGTTTTCCCTGTTTTATCAAAACAGGGTAGAATGGATTGCGAGTGAAATACATCGGATAAAACACCCTTTTTTACATTAACCGACAACGCGGCGTTGTGCTTACACCGTGAGCCATTTCGTAAATTCTGTTCTCGTTTGTACACAATTGTATCTTTCGTCTACCGCCTGGTACAACTCGAGGGGGTTACAAGCGTACACGACTCTGTATGGGGTTTCCGGTAGATTCCCAGCGTAAACTTTATTTGTAGATATTTCTCCGTGTGCAAGAACACGGACGGGGTAAGGGGAAAACAGATGAAGAATGAATTTTTGTATGTGTACATGAGGCTTTCGAGAGAGGTGAACGTTGAATGCGGAACCCTGCTACGGGTTTAACGGAAACGATAGATAAAATTTGTAGAATAGTTATACTACCAGAAAAATACTCCGATATACGTTCAGCTTACGAAGAAGTAATGCTACGATGTTATAACGAATAGCTGCCATGTTACATATTTGAAACGGAACACTGTAAAATTTTGTTGGAAATATCATTTATACTGAAGGAAGAAAGAAAAAAAAAAAGAAGAAAAAATTAAATACGCGCATTTGACATTCAATCAACGTCTTAAGATACCAAAGAGATATATTTGTTCTTTTTCTTTTTATTATGTAAGATTCGTTATCTTTTTCTTTTTTTAACGTAAAGAATTACTTTAACATGGTTGTATGCAAACAGAAGAAGATTCAACTGTTTCAATTAAAACTGCCATTAGTCGTAATTCTGATGATATACGTGTCTCCACTGACGAAGTTAATGCATCTCGTGTTGCATTTATTACTTGTGAAGTTTGCTTAATCGTCGGCAAAGATTCTTTCGATGAATTTCTATGATTTGAAGAGCACTTAGGGTTAATATTAAAAAAGTGCACTTTTACTTCATTAACTAAGAAAAATGCGAAATGTGTCGACTTCACTCCAACAACCATAGTTACAAGTAATAACTCCTTGTATAAATACACTACTGCTGCAATGTATCCGGACACTTGCTTATTTTTGACATGACGCTTTATGTAATGAAATTATTATACAGAAAAAGAGCAGCTGATTTCATCTGTTATTGTCGTGACAGTTGCCTTGCAATATTACGAAACGATAAAATTGTAAATTTTTAAGTCGTAAATTGTACAGTTATAGAAATTAACATGCAACGATGAAAGTTTGGTATCTCTACAAGTGTCGGACTTTGGATTGTTTAATCTTTAAGCTATAAATCAAATAAAATTGGACATACGGATAAATTGCACATTTGACTCGAATGCTCTGTTGCTAAATTCTTTAATAAATAATTTAAATCTACGTGATCTGTCTCCTCATTGCATATGGTAGTAACAAACACAACCTTTGGCCACAACCTCGCTTCTAATTTATTCACTCGACCGAATCTAGTCACCAGCCACGCGTTCAATTTTTAATTTTCAGTTGGTACAAATCGTCAAAGTGTCCAGGTACTAAGCAAGCAGTAGCGTACGTTGTATTGTCCCTCCTAAAACTGCGTATACGCCAGAACAAATTTATTTTCCGTTTGTTGCTCGCTTCCTAAGGAAGGATTTATACGTTGTCGGTTACGATGGCGATTCAACGGACGCCCGGTATAAAATTGATCCCGCAGGCCGAGAACGGTCTGCAGGCCGAGAACGGACCACAATTAACTCAAGCCAAGATCCCAGTACTCTCTAGACATGTCGAAGCCAAATCTGCCAAAGTCGCGGAAGGAAACCCGACGTCTGCTAGTCCAAAGTTTGTAAGACGAATACCACGCAGGTACACCACCTTCGGGATATTGTGTGCTTTGCCAAGCTGCCACGGATGATTCCGCTGTATCCCCCCGCAATTGTACGTATACAACTATTAGTCGGCCGACGGTGTATACGTGTGCCTGTTTCTATGAGTTAGAATGGCCGCCATCTTGCACACAAGCGCGACAAAGGAAACGACCTTTCAGTTACCTGAAACGTCGTCACCGTAACAATTACCACCGCAACCTCTCTATGTCCTCTCCCTTTCTCTTCGCCACATCCACTATTTTCTACCGTGTCACATCCGCTCTTCTCTCGGTCCACTTCTCTCTCGTGGCTCTTGTTCAATGCACCCTTTCTCAACCCCCTCTTCTTTCCTACGTCTCTTTAACCATCTGTCTTTCCACGTTCCGTTTCTCCTAGTTTTGCTTCTTTTTGTTACTTTCTCTCTCTCTCTCTCTCTCTCTTTCTTTCTCTGATCTCTTTCTATTTGTCTCCTTCGCAGTCACAGAGAACGACACAGGTGACGCCAGTACCGAAAGTAGTAGCAGCAGGAGTTGGCGGCGTGAAGCGACTTGGTCGGGGTGACTGGTGCAAAATAAACTTTGTTTCGAGCTCCGCTTAATATCCCTCCAGCCATCAAATACGGTTACGCGAGCGCACCAACGCCCCGTATACTCGTCCCCCAGAAATCCTCTTCTTTGTCCGCCACTTCGGCCACAGCGGAGAGGGAAAACCGCGAACCTGTCTCCTCTCTCAATGTTTCGGCTTCGTTATGAACATCTTCAATGACACCTGGGCTGATACGTTTAGTTCACGTTTACCGAATTAGACGCGCGACTCTCTGCTCTCTCCTCGCCCCGGCGAGCATGCATCGCTGCGTTTCGTCACGCTCCACAACGAGAACTCTCTAACACGCGGCGGTAACTGTTGCCTTGCCCAGCCTCTTTCTCGCCTCGATGCCCGAAACTCGTATTTTTCCTTCCAAAACTGACGCTAGGTACTGTTCTAGGTTCCTAACTTCGAAATCGCGTGCTCGCCCGAGCAAATAGCGCGAAGCAACCTTTTATGCGAAACAACAAACAACGAATGGAAGCTTTGTGCTATGGTAACAGGAACTCGACACGCGAGTGAAGATTGATTCATAATTATTGGTTTTTTGATGAATAATACTAAACGCTATACTGAACGGAATATTTCAGAAGCTGAACTTCCTGCAACTGTAACTGTACTTTATACATAAACATGTGAAATCTATTAACGTGGCTTGGGGAATATGAATGGTACTCTGAGACTCCGGCTTATTTGCTCAATAAGACAAATTTACCTATATATTTTCCAAATCTCACACCGCTGTACAGATCTCAACCAACGCA